GACTTATAATTTAATTGTGTTTGAACATATATCTTAAGGGCCCATTAGACAGCAACGTTCGTTGTCAACGCGCGCTTGCCATTACACAAACAATTTTTTAAAAATTTTTTAAACACGCCCCAGATAAAACAACAAATATACTAAAAAATCGCTCTCACATGAGAATTTTTTTTCTCCTACTTTTCCTCCTACTTTGTGAAATGCGAAATTTGTTTGTGTAATAGTAACATTTGAAATTTTAAGAAATGTGTTGACGAAAATCAAGAAATTTTGATATTTCTTCAAACATGTTCGTGTTTTTGCATATACAGTCGGATTTGGTCGGCATGCAAAATTTTATTTATTTTGAGAAATGGAAGCGTAAACATCGTTTAAATGCACGCATGATTTGTCGTTAGCATGCGATGCTTTGCAAATATGAATGAATTTTATTTTAAATATTTATATTTTCTACCTAGGTAAAATTTTTTAATTTCCAAAACATTTTATTAAGGAGAATTAAAATATTAATAACCTTGGGCTAAAAAAAAATAACCAAACATTAAATTACAATAAAAATTTTGTTTTAAATATTAATTGCATTGTGCACCTACGGAAAATTTGTTATTAAAAAATACCAAAAAAAAAAATTAAATTATATAAAATATAATATATATAAAAATAAATATATAAATTGAAATCATAAAAATAAATATAAATATATAAATTAAAATTATAAATTAAATGTCATCATTTTTCGTAAGGAAATTACGCATAGCAGCCGCTGTCGACACTTCAGCGATTGCTTTAATACTGATGAGTGAACAAATTTTGCATTGTTTGCTGGAGGCGTGTTTAAAAATTGTTGGTAAATTTAATGTGTAATGGAGAGAGAAGACTTCGTGTGTTTGTCAACGCGCGTTGATGTCTAAAGGCCACTTTACTCAAGTCAGACATTAAAACCAACAAATACATATCTTTAGTCAAGACATCCATTGTTTCTATAGCTAATTTCTTTGCACCTCTAATGCATTCACAACTGTTCACTATAAACTCAATTTAATAAGTATGTTCATTTCAAATACTGTAATGCAGTTTTCTGAATATTTGTTGTGGTACCCCTCATTTCACAATTTAAAGAATTTTACTGCCCCTCATATTTAACGTAAAATACGTAATGAACGTTTGGAAAAATTAGTAGGTCAGTCGATTATTTATTTTTCAAACGACAAAAGACGAATTGTGTCCTTTACTTTGTCCATTTAAAATCTTTTTTTTTCTCTTGCACTGCTTAACCAAGGGACTTTCTGATTACCATTGTTTCAAAGTCAACACTGTCAATAACACCCATCCCCCTCTAGACTTCGAATTCGAATTATGGTGCTATCGACTGATACTTGAAACCGCTTAAATTGATCATGAAAGTAAAAATTACTGAAAGACGTGAATCTGGGAAGATGAAAGATATCGTGACTTATGAATCTAGGACAGAGGTTCGAATAAAGTGAGATCACTCGTACGGAAGGTTATAGACAAGTTAAGAATAGAAATCATGTTAACCAACATTCGAAGTGGGTAAGCCATTAAGAAGAAAATTAATTCGATCAGTGTTATTGTTTATGTAAAACTGTGGTTAATGTGTTATCTCCTGACAAAATGAACCACCTTTTATTCATGTTAGTATTATCTAAGAATTTTTATATGTATTATCCTCTTATTGTAGAGTTTTGATGAATAAGAAAAATCACGATCTAGTGAAGGTAGTATTCCATATTATCATTCAATAAAAATCATTCAATAGGTTAGATCCTAGGTGATTTCCTATTTCGCTCCTTTCTTATCTAATAGCGACATACGCTTTAAGTTAAGCGTATGTATATAATTGCTTATTTTATTCCTGCACTTGTATCGTTTCATTTGTTTATGTGGATCGACATAATAAATGGATTATTACTACAAGTTATTACACTTATCGCAAAGATGTCAAGATATCAAGAATATCCTGAACGACTGTCCGGCTATGGGCTGGTCTAAAACACTGGTTTAAGGAGTAATTACCTATTTTTTGTTAGCCTCCTAAAGTTGTATACACGTCTGTCTGCGATGAGACACTTAATACTTATTATTTAGAATTAAAGAAAAAATTATTTTTCAATTTGATCAATGAAGGGCACTTTTAGTTGTAAAACTAAAATCCTATAAAGTTATAAATATTCAAAATAAATTTTTTTCTTACTATATTTGAATATAATTATTTAAATTAATTTGTGAGTAATAAGTTAGGAACATATGCTTCAAGAATATATTATATAAATGTAAAATATTTCGCTTAAATAAGAAATAAAAATGCTTCATTTAATTTTGTTTAAATTAATATTTTTTAATTTTATTTTCATTTTTTCTTTTTAAGTATATAACTTATTGATTTTATTACTATTTAATATAACTTCTTGATTTTCTTTTTCAATTTGAAATTTATTATTCTAGATTTAAACTGTTTTTATATGTGATTTTGTTTTTCGTTAAATATTTCTTTATTTTATTTTTTAAATTTAAGCTTTTTATTTAATAATAACTAATTTTCTTTCGTTTCATATTTAATATATTAAATGGTAATTTATTAATTTATATATATTTATAAATATATAATTAATATAGTCATAATTATAATAATATAATAATTATAATAATTATAATAATTATAATAATAATAATAATAGTAAAATACTCAACAAATATTTTGTAATTAGTTTTATATTTTTGTTTTATTTTATTTTTATAATTATTAATGTTAGATTTATATATTTGCTGCTTAGTTTTTAAATTAAATTAAACTAATATAATTCAGCATTAATCAAATTAATGTTTTTAATTATGGGTATGTAGTTAGTTTTGTATATCTGATGATTTTTCAACTTAAAAGAGAAAAAAAAAATTTTTATGAAATTAAAAATAATAAAAATAAAAAGCTTAAACAACATTCATTCAATTATAAATGATCAAAATGATTAGTATTTTGAATAACTTATATAAGTTAATAATAAAATTCTTAAATAGTTTCAAAAGAAACAAAATCGCGCATACACAACAAAAACATTTTTTTAATTTATGTTGTTTTGATTCTCATTTTACAAATATTTATATAAAATAAAAATTTTCTTTAAAAAAAACTGCTTACAAAGTAAATATTTTCGTAATAGTTACAATTTTATAATAACTTAAAAAACTAATATAAAAGGAAAGAGTTTCGAAAAAACACGAATTTTTTCTATTTTTAGTCTATATACATATTCTTCTCCCGACTGAGAAGTAAAGGAGTAACGTTGTTTTTATTTATCCATTTTAATTTTGTTGCAAAAACACTGAAGCGAACCCATCAAAAATCTAACCTGCATTATTATTTATTTTATTCTTTATATTTAATTTATTTATTTATTTTTTGTTTTGTTTTGTTTTTTTTTCTTGTTTGCTTTCGTCTTTGTTTGCAATTATAAATGTTTTATTATTACTTTGATTTCAGAGATAATTTTCTTGTTCTCATGAACATAAAATAAGTTAAAGAATTTTTATTTAATTATTACAATTATGTTTTATTTTTAAAGTTACTTTTTGTTTGTGAATTACTTTTATGGAAATTAGAATTTTGTTATAACACTATTACTTCTTTGCTGTTCAATTGATTTTTTGTTTTTTCTTTATTATAAATTAATTAATATATATATACATAAATGTATATATATATTATGTTTATATTAAAATTTTATTTTTCAGTTTTAATAGTAATATTAATTAATTTAAAGTTATTTAATTATTATATATGTGTATATATTTTGCATTATTATAATTATAAATTATAATAAGAAGTAGGCATAATTCTAATAAAATTTAATTTTTTAACACTAATTTTTTCTTTGCATTATTTCAATTTCTTTATTTTATTTTATTTTATTTTATTTATTATAAAGTTTCTCTCTTTTCTGAACTTGTTTTAATTACAATTATGTACTTAATAAGTTTTTAGACTAACCACAAAATGTACTGTCGCCTTTCATATATATTTATGTATATATAGTTTTAATTATACTTGTGTTTTGTTTAAATAATCCTTCAATGGTTGTTGGTTTAAATATTTCTATTTGTATTAAATTTTCAGTTGGGTTCTCTTTCTCTATTTTTCATAAAATTTGTTTAATTTATTTTACTATTTAAAAATTGCATTAAATTAAATAAACTTAATACGAAATGCAGTAAAACAAAATCATGCAAACTTTTAAAACAATTTTTTTTTTTCATAACAAAATTAAATTTGAAAAAACTTATTAACAATGTAGAGAATTTTATGAGTTCTTAGTTGTTGTTATTACTACTATTATTGTTGTTGTTGATGTTGTTGTTGTTGTTATTGTTATTATATTTGTCTAGAAGAAACAAACACCCTGAAAATTATTTTATTTAAAAGACGCGTTAGTGTTAAAGATATTTCACTTGTAGATATTCTATTCTTCATGAACATAGTTTCTGACTTTAACCATCCATCCTTTTCATCATGTTATCATGTTATCATGTTATGTTGTTTATTTCATAATATTCCGAATGTTAATTAACAATAAAATTCAGAATACATTATCACATTAATTTTATCGCTCTAAAATATTTATGGAATTTTTTTTGTTTGTTTTTTGTTTTTGTTTTTGTTTTTGTTTTACTATAGTGTTTTGGTTTAACTTTATAAAACAGTCAATAAATATTATTTATTTTATATACATTACAACAACAAACAGTTTTACAGCTTTAGCTATAAATGAAGATGAAACTTCTAAGCCATTTATTTTCCATCCTACAATTTATAATCAAATGGAGTGAATGCAGTTGAAGCGCTCCCAATGCGCCGCTCTTCACATTGAGATTTTTGTATATAAGCAACAACAACAATGTCCAATATTTATTTAACATGAATTTTCTATTGGCAGTGCATTTATGCATTTATGCTGCAATTTATTGGGTTTGTTATACGATTATCATCACTTCCAATAATGGCTGGTATGCATAGATCCAGGTCCATTTTGGAAGGCATACAAATTATTATTACAATTATCGTTGGCTTCCATGTTTATTGAATTGTAGCTTTGTTTTTGTTTAGTTGGTTTGCTTTTGATTGGTTTTGTTTGCTTTTGCATTTTGTAAGTTTTGTTATTTGCTTCAGTGGCCCTGCAATGCACTTTACTATTACTATTTAGCATTGCTGTTGCAGAAGAAGCACGCTTGCGATACTGTTTTTGTACTTTTGTCTGTTGTTCTTCTGCAGCTGTTGCTGCCGCCGCCGCTCCTGCTGTTTTATAAGAAACTATTTGTAAATTTTGATATATTTTAATGTTTTTTGCAGCTTTCGTTCTAGTCTGTTTGTTTCGATATATTTTGCTTTCAATTATGGTATCGAATTCTTGAGTTTCAGTTGTCTCACTACGTTGTTGCTGTTGTTGTTGTTGCTGCTGTTGTTGCTGTTGACATCGTATAAACGGTTGTCTTTCCATTTGTTGTTCTTTACCGCTTGAACTTTTGTTAGTTGCAATCAGCATTAGTAATTAGGAATTTGAGTTTCGTTTTATTTGCAGCTAGGATGAGCTTGACTGATTTAGGTTACCGAACATGCCTGCTGAGAATGATGTTTGTCCTGCTGAATTGGCTTGTGATGTTGTAGATTGTTGCTGTTGTTGTTGCTGCTGCTGTTGTTGTTGTTGCTGCTGTTGTTGTTGTGTTAGTGATTGACCACGTCCATGTTTTGGTACGGGCGGTTGTATATATTCATGCCTCGCTAAGGAGAATACATCCATACGATCTTCTTTGCGATAAGCGAGACAACCTCGTATAAAACTCTATTGAATAAAAAAAAAAAAAATAAATTACATTCGTTAGTGAATTGTCGAATATGGATCTTCATATGCTACTTGTACGTACCTTAGCTTCATTTGATACAGTCGGTTTATTGGAAAATTGTACCTCTGTTGCTTTGAGTATTGTGTTCTCTTCAAGTATAGTTGCTTGAGATTGATTGTGGCCGAATGGTTTTTTACCATATAGACATTGATAAAATATAACCCCTACACTCCAGACATCTACTTTTGATGAGATTTTTGGTGGATTTTTGCCAACAACAAAACATTCTGGAGGCAAATACCTAAAATAAAAAATTAAACATTAGTTATATTTATCAAATTTTTTTATTAAAATCACATTTGACGATAAAACTACTTTCTAAATAAAGCCTAGTACTAATATTTAACTATAAATATTTAACAATATTTTTCGGAACATTTTTTTTTATATGTTAGTACTACGCTTTAAAAGAAAATAAATAATAGTGACAAACCAACAAATTTTTATTTTAATTAAAGGAGTTAGATTCAAAGTTAATTAAAACAATACTCAGCCCTCAAGAAGAAGTCAAATAAACTTCGAAACGTCAGCTATATTTATATAGATATAACTATATAAAAATAAAAATATTGAAACCAACTAGGTACTAACAAATCATTATTATCTGTAGTTAAGTTTTGGAAATATTTATTAGTCTAATTATAGGATATAAGAGCCCATCAATGGACGCAATGTCACAAGCCCACCAAATACTAATAATCAAAATATAATTATCTAAACTGCAAGTGCTACCTTTGCGGCTGACAAATTCGAAACAGAGACGTCGTGTGGTTTAACCGTACAAACCAAACCTGCTGTTTTATCAATTATTGTTTACTTAACCAACAAAGCACACGCTGTGCTACCATTAGAACGAATGCATAAACCACAGCTATATACAATTTAATTATTGTTATCATACTTTTAATATTAGTTGTTGAACTTAAAAGAATATCTTTTCTACAATAATAAATAATAAAGAATTAACAGAAATTAAATCATGTCACCACTCTATCAAGTCAAAACGTAAATTTTTCAAATTTCAATTTAAATTTATGTTCCCAGAAACTCTAAACGTCTATCCAAACATATCCATAAGATATATATGCGATAGTATATTATTTAGTAGAAACAATTTGGCGCTATTAATGGATTGGTTGTGGTTGTACTGAAGAAAATTGGTTTTAACGAGATTTAACGTCAATAGAGTATTTGTTGATGAATATATTAATAATTATTAAACAATGCGGACAAGTCTACAATGATTTCTGAGACATGGTGTAAACTATTTAAAACAGTTATGAAAATTTAAAACTCCAGGATGTAGTTTTTAAGACGTTTTCCTGAAGGTCAAGTAATCGAAATCACTCACTACTATTGTCTCTTCCCTTAAAATGCACCGTATGTAAAGATAATAATAAAGATAAAGATAATAAACACAATAATACTTTTGTGATGTTGTAAGTATTATTAAAATATTCTAATAAATGTTGTTAATTATGCTTACTATTAAAAATTACTGTAATAAATCATCGTATATATAAACACGATTCTTAAAAAATTTTCCTGACGTTACAAACATTTTTATTTTTGATATATCCTAAAAATATAAATGAAATATATTTACATACCTTTTGGTATGGGAATTCATTCAAATTAAAATTTTATTGAAGTGACATTAAGACTTTTTAGCTTATAAGGGTGCTTATATGCATTAGGTTATCTATAGCGATAAACTTATGATGACTAATACTGTTTCTAATTATAATTAGTTTAAACTGGTTAATGAATTTGTTTAAATTCACAACTGAATATGTTTGTTAAAAAGTATAGATTTTATTAAAAGTTTTACTACTATTTTGTAGCAATCGTAGTTAAAATTCTCTATGTATAGATTAAGATTAAAAGTTAGGTAAAACTGGTTGACCGAAAGCTACGCATCAACATATGAGTTCCAGGTGGAGTTAAACCTCTATATTTGAAAATTTAAAGAGTACTCGAAGCTATATTCCGGAAATAGAACCGAACCATCAAGCAAATGAGGTATTTTCAAATCACACATTAGATAGTGTGATTTGACGACAGACCCTATGATAATCTATAATAGATTACCCTAATAGGATAATCTTAACTGTAACTTTTAAATATTTACTTTTATAAGTGTATCACAAATTATCTACTATAATCAAATTGAATCGCTCCACAAGGAGCCTAAGTTCCGGTAACCTACTTTTATAAACTATAGATGATATGAACCAATACTATTAATTAATTTTAAAAAAATAATATATGCAATGAATGGCTAATATATAGTCAATATAATTTTATTGTGTTACTATCAGATATCCACCGATCGATACCTATGGTTTAAGTATTGAATATATATTAAAATTAGAAGAATATTATTAAAATATTTAGATGGATCGTTTTATATAGTAATGGTTTTTATATGACAAAAACGAACAAAATAATTTAAATAAAATCGAAATAACAATCGAAAAAAGTTCCCAACAAATTTCAAACAAATCACATTTAACAAATGAAAATTTAACGCGCCCAAGCATATTTCCACACATGCTTAGTCCCCACACATACTCACCAATAGGTTCCTGCGCCTTGCGATGTCAAGTCCATACCATGATCTGGATTGTAGTTCTCATCGTCCATTACTTTAGACAAACCAAAATCGGTAATTTTTATTTCGCCACATACATTGCCTTCAGTCAATAATATATTGCCTGGCTTCAGATCGTAGTGAATGACAGGTGGCTTTATCTCATTTAAATATTTCAACGCAGACACAACCTAGAGACAAGGGAATAAATAACGAAACAATAATGTTGAAAGTGTAAAAATGTACACAATGTATTGATAGTGTAATACCTGCATAATGATTGAACGCGCTTCACGTTCCGGTATGGTTTTATGCTGTTTGAGATAGAAGTCCAAATCGTGACCGTCGCAATATTCGAGTACAGTGCAAAATGAATTCGCATCAATTTCAAATACATCATACAGCTTCACCACTCGTGGGTGATCCAAAGCCTTATGGATGTTATACTCTCGCAGGGCATGCCTAAAGGACGAACAGGAAACATTATATATACAAATAATAAAATAAAAATTCATTTTATACTCACTTTATGTAGTTGGCTTTTTTGTCTTCCTTCCAATCTTTATTTAACTGATGCACTTTACACGCGACATATCGTTGCTCCTTCAAATCAAATGCTTTATGCACTTCGGAGAAACCTCCTTTGCCCAGTAGCATTAGCAGCAAATATCTTTCATTCAACACTGGATGATTATTGAAACGAGACTAAAAATAAAAAAACAATTGAATTGATGAATTTTCTCCTTTAAGTTATAATAAAATTTTTTTTACTTACTTGATCTTCATTGAGTATCCTTTTTAATTCCCGAATGTGTAAATTTCTTTCTCTTTCTAATTTTTCCATCTCTAATTGCAAGTCGGCATCTTCTTTTTTGAGTGCGTTCTGTCGCAATTTTAGTATCTCATCATATTCATAATACTCTTGCGCTGTATATGCACCAGAGACAGGATCTGGTTTAAGGAACGTTGCAGTATCGGAACCACTGCCACTATTATCACCACGTCCAGACCCGCCGCCACCTCGGTCTGACAATCGATCACCAACTCCGCCACCACCAGTGCCACCAACTGTGCCACTACCTCCGTTGTGAAGGAGTTGAGCTTGACCGGCTTGAGTAGAATTGGAACGTGATAGCCCACGACCACTTCCTACACCACCAGCGACGGAACCGCTGCCAATTCCGCTATCACCTCCAGCTAAACGATCGCATCCAGCCAAATTCGTTGAATCATTTGAATTGGAATTTTGTTGCTGGTTACTATTGTTATTGTTGTTCCGTTTTCGTCCCGACTCTGCCGGTCGCTTTTTCATTAACTGTTTTTTCTGTCTATCGATTTCTTCGCGTTCGGCAGAGATCTCTTCTTGCCGACGACTTAACTCCTGGAAGGCGTATCCATCAGTCCAGTTTTCCTGGAATGTGGCGCCAACTCGTTGCGTTACAAACTGGCCCAGTCTAAGCCTATTCTGCATACATTTCTGGCGCGCTTCTTTCTTCTCGATGCTGCTTTTCTCCTTCAATAATTTCTTAACTACATCAATACACTTGGCGATATGAGACTTGTGCTGATCAATAAGCTTTTGATGGGCGATTATCTGGCACTTTTGCTCATCGGACAGTCTTGTCATTTCATCGAGCTTTGATTTACTCGATTCGAATTCGGAATCTCGTTCCTGTATTTCAAGGAAAGATAAATCCGTTTGTGTGGCTTTAGCTACGGTACTATTTTGCATTGGAGGTGGTGGTACACCTGCCATCATGCTCTGATGCTGTAACGATGTGATCTGTACAGCACTCAGTTGCTGCGAGGTAACTCCGCTAGTAAGTGTTTGCTGAACGGATGTTGCTACGGAAGTTGCGGGAAGCTGTTGTTGCGACTGAGATATTGGTGATGGTTGAGGACCTACTACAGCATTACCAAGTATAGCATTTGCGTTAACGACACTACCACCTAAACAATTGGAAGTCAATACGCCTACCATAGGTGATGGTGGAGGAACCATTGAGTTGGAAGGTTGCTGCTGCTGCCGTTGCTGCTTATTGGAATTATTTGCTACATTGCTGTAATGAAATTCGGGCGGGGGTTGAGACGTCGGCGTTTGCACGCCTCCTGCACTCATTTGAGGACTAGGTGGGTACATTGGATATGTGCCAGGCCCGCCGCCGGCAGTTGTTTGCACTTGCGGGGACTGTTGCTGTGCTGAAGGACTTTTTGAACCTCCTGTATGCTGTCGCATGGGTGCGTTTGTGTTACCAGGATGATGCTTATTAAAATAGTCATTGATTTTCTTATTGTCAGCCACTCCAGTTGGTGGCAATAATCGGGCATTTTTACCACCAACTGGCATATTACATCGATCTTGCTGTGTACCTATATTTAACGATAAATTGCCTTTGTTTAGAGACTGCGTGCCACTGTTAGGGCCGTAAGCCATGTTAGTCTTTGTCGCCTTGTTGATGGCGTTTATAGTATTACCTCCATTACCGCCATTACCAGCTACACCTCCACCACTATCATCAGCGTGTGGAGCTATTTTTCTTTTACGTTTTCTTTCGGTAGGTGTACGTGCCAATTTTTCTAAACGCCCACCACTACCACTGTTGTGTTGTTGGTTATTTACTCCAGCACCGCCACCCATCATACCTGTACCGTTACCCTCTTGACCAATACCGCCGCTGTTCATAATGCCCCCAGGGGCTCCGTTATTTGGCAATAATCCGATTTGATTTGGTAGTCCCGCTGTGCTTAACATGTCACCAACATCTTTTTCGCTGTGTGATGAACCAGTACTCATATTCGAGTCAGGATTACTGCTATGGCCACCGCTCGGCGCTTGCTGAAGCGGTGCCGTGTGTTGTTGATGTGTTTGCAGCTGCTGATGAGGTAGCTGCGGTTGTTGGAGATGATGTTGATGATGCTGATGATGATGTGTTGTACGTGATTTTACAAATATGTGTGTTTGGTTAAGATCAGTTTGTGCCTCGGCAGTTTCTGTTGAATCAATATGAGAAAAAAAAATGTTTTAATAAAGAACTAGAAATTTTTAATTTGTTGAATTTATAAAAAATATTAAAAATTATACACAAGAACATTAAAAATTTAATATATTAAGTTATTATTTTTTTAATAGATTATATGATTTCAATTAATTGAACTATTTAACATATTTAGCTATAACGATTATATAGATAATAATTATATATGTTATTATTATTATTACATATATTCAATTTTCTTAGAAGGATTGTTGCTTGTTTGAGTGTACCATGAGATCTAAGACGTAAGTAGAAAGCATAAATGGACTAGTACATAGTAAAAAAAATTAAAAGATAATTAAACGTCGTTCACATAGAGTGCAAACCCAACACCCCTATGGAGTGTAGTCCCTCCTCCTTTTTGGGAGTGCTGAACGGCACGGCACATGTACGTCGAAGACTCGACGAGTGAAACGGCCGTTTTTAGAATATTTATTTATTTATTTATTAGAATATTTAATATTTATTTATTAACTTTGTGTTATATTTTTGATTGTAGCATCGTAATTTCAATAATCCATGAGCAATAAACTGCAATTATAATATTATTTATATATTCGTGTTTTTTGTATATCAAATTTAAAGTTTTTTTTCTTTTAAATGGCTAATTTGACTATAAACCCTAGTATTAAGATCCATTTCAGACGAAAAATTATCATAAATTTTCGTATAAAAAAAAACTTATTTTTTTATCATGTCAAAGTTTATTGTAGAATATTTTTCTTAGTTTCAAGTCAATTTCTCGTACGAAATAGATGTTAGTACTAAGAATAAACAGGGTACTAGCTCCCATCGGAGCAGAGCACTGCGACCAGATTGATCTTTTGTACTATAAAAGGTTAGTACTAGGTTTTATACAGAAACTTTATGATATTTGACATTTGCAGTGATATCAACGTGAATATAGGTTAGGTCAGATTATCGCTGTACAATCCCAATTGTCCACTTAGACTTATTGGCAGTAAGAAGCGTAAAGGATTTGAAACTATTTATTGTGTGTCTTTAATAGAGCCTAAGGTACTCTCTCTTTAGGGTTTTTTAGATCTGCTTACAACAATCTTTCAGAAAGCAAGTTAAATTATAGTTACATTATTTCCTTATATTGGTATTATAATGCTATAAAATTGTTATATAAATTATAACAATTATTATTATATCATTATTTATAACAGTTCTAATTGGATTATTATTTTTTATTGGTATAGTTTTCATATTAATTAAAATAATTTTTGTTTACTTACGAAAAAATTGCTGTTGTTGTTGCTGCAATTGCAATTGTTGTTGTTGTATTTGTTGTGGCAATAGTTGCTGTTGTTGCGGCTGATTATGATGCAATTGAGCCCCCGCGGACATCTAAAATAATAAACGTATAGAGTCCTATTAGTATGTATTATAATTATATCACTATATACATATATAGTATTCACATAATAAACTAAACTATATATGTTAAGATCTAAAATCTACTATTACACGTTAATATCTATATAGTCCGTTAATATATATTTAATTTTTTTTATTTACAATAAACCCACATTAGGAACAAAAATTCAAAAGGCACAATTTACAACACTACACTGAATTTACTAAAAAGATGGTATAAAGTAAAGAAATACAAAAAAAAAAAACATACAAAAAAAAAACGAAACGAAGAAGGAACATCGTACACAAGAAATCCATACAAACTTAAAAGAAAATGTCAAAGCAGAGCAAAAAAATAAAAATGGCCGTTACCAATTCGCGACAACCGTTTCAATGGAACATCTTTAATATAAAAAAATTTTTTAGTTGAATATGATTTAACCTCAAATTAATTACTACAGATTTCCTGCGATGCACCAAGGTTAAATTAATTTAATACAACAAATGAAAAAATAAACCGCATTCAATAATTTTACAAATGGATCACCTTTTTTAAATGCCGCATTGTATTTTGCAAATTTGATTTTTATCAGCACATTAAGTTATTATTATATTTAATACTAAATTCCTCACCAATTAGCACACAATTTGCATTATTATCAAATTGTTTAATGAAAGAACGACAATACAATGAAATATGTTTTTCCATTGAGAAAATGGATTATTTTTAAATTATCTTAAAATTGATTTCCAGTTTTGATAAATTTCTCATTTTCAAAATTATTTCATTTTCCTTGTTTTGTGCTATAAATCGTTTTTTTCACGTCGTCATCGTTTCATCGTCGGCTTTAAAGGCCGAAATATATAAATTAAATTCATTTTTTTAATTTCACACACTTCTCATAATTTATATTTATGATTTTATTTCAAAAATTTGTTATTATAGAAAAGATAAATAATTAACTTATCAAATGTATTAAACTTTTTGTATTTTCACTTTGTGTATATAATTTATTCAAAATTCTTCGTTCACTTTGTTCAGAGGTTCGATAGTGTAAAAGGAAGAAAGAAAAATTTTATACACTAATGAAATGGTGTATATAATGGCTGTCATTGTGTGTATGTATCTCTCGTACGCAAGTGAACGAACAGTGTTGCGTTTTGCATCAGAGAAATCCCTTACATTACCATATGGATTATACTAAATACGGTAAGCAATTTTATTTAAAAAAAAATATTTTTTTTTATTATATTATAGATATTTAAATTAAAATATATACACAAATATGTAAGTAGAATACATTTTATAAATTATTTTTGTTAATTTAAGCAATTTAAATAAAATTGCTGTTACGAGTTGTTTAACAACACTGAAAGAATAATACGTCTCTTTGAAGAGCGAGATAAAACTATTATTTTAGTGAAATGTAATGCAAGAATTGTATGAAAGAGCATATGAGAGCTATTGATGAACTAAATAATTACGTTCATCTTATAGCAAAACACTCTCATTCTCTTTCTACTTTATGTAGTAAAGAAATCAAATCTGCAATATATACACATATATTTGTAATCTTTTCCCAACAACAGAAGGCATATAAAGTGAAAATGTGCATTTGTTCTCTTTTGATATACATAGATATGCATTCAATTTTTCTTAGTAAATATTATATCTTTGACAAGTAATACAATTTGCAAATAATTTTAATTTTTTTGTCACATTTTTTTTTTTTGCACAATTCTCATTGTAATTAATTTTAGATTAAAATCTTTGATAATTATTTGACTAACACATAATTAAACCCAAACAAAGTCATATGTTTAATTATTTACTTACATATATGTGTATATATATGGATGTATGAGTACATAATTATATATAAAATAAATTTATTATTAAAAAAAATTTCCTATCTTATGAGTGTACCATTATAACATTATTTGTATCTTTACTTTAAAAGCTAAGTTGTGTAAATTTAAGTAATGTCAATACTCGTATGATTAACACCAAAAAAAAAATTATTAGTTTAATTTATGTAAATTTAAATTGGAATTATAAATTAAGTGTTGCCAGCGTAATACCATTGAAAAATAGAAAAGAAAAAAAATTTGATAAAGATTTAGTATGTATTGTATATACATACCAAAGTCTAGTTTTTAAAATTTATTAAATTTAATATGTAAATATAAAATAAAAATATGGCAATTGCTTCTTATTGGATATTGGATATGACTAAAATATCGTTTTGTCATTGTGATAAAAAAATATCTGTTTCATCGTAAAACATCAACTATGAGTGAAAACAAGTTCATGATCCTGATTTGACAGCACTATCAAACAGAACTGCCACTATACACATTACAGATTAGTCATTTACAACAAAATATTTAGTCCAACAACCTGTGAATGCGTTAAAGCTGTTCAAACTTTTTACAAAAATGGTGTCGATGTTGAAGATCGGGTTCACTTTCGAGACGAAGCTCATATTTGTACTTGGTAGATATGTCTGCGACAAACTAAATTATCACATATGGAGCAATAAAAATCCATAAGTACAACAAACTTATTCTGAAGTTGTTATATAACCCACTTTTTTGAAAATGTCAATCAAGGATCGATCAAGGATCGTGTTTATGGAAATAATCCTCATCCTTAAAAGCATTAAAATATATTACGGAATATCTTTAAGCTATCACTCGGTCATAACTTGTAATTACTAAAGTTCTCAAAAGAATCCAGTACTGCGAGATGTCTCGTGTTGAACAATTGAATAATGTTGTATATTATACCTAATGGCAAGGTGCAAACTAATAATATAGTGAAATAAAAATTTAATCGAAATCTCAATGAGAAGTGAGTTTTATTTACTTCTATAGTACTTCCGGAATCACAAAATGGATAATACTATAATGAAACATTCCATACAAAGTTTGTTCACATAATCATGACATTTAGTTTGCAATTAACTTTATAGCTTACAATTCCAATTACTTCATCTATTTAAATATCCTTTATTGAAAACATTCATATTTAACGTAAATAAAATCACACATTTAATACGAAATATATAATTAATACAGTTAATAATGATACTTTACCCATGTCAAGAATATTTTAAAATATTAAATAAGTTCTCTTAAAAATACTTTTTAAATTGAATAAAGGAAGAAATAAGGAGGAAGAAGTGTTGATTAAAATTGATTACATTTGACCATTCTAAGGTTCTATGCTCCAATGAGAGATACAGGAATTCTGTGTCATCATAAAACTATATAATTTCAATATATTTAAAATACTTAATCAATAAAAAGATCTAAATAAATATTGACAGTAAATGCTAGAAAACGTAAACCCTGGGTTAGGTGTTAGCACTTTCTTCTTCACATTTACTAATATTATAACACACTGAATTATAACACACTCAACTGAATCTCGGGTGGTCAATATTTGAGCACACATTATATATAATATGATGTCCATATATATTATGACATAAGAAATGGAGTTATGGAACACACCTAGTCAATTAAGTATTGAAATTTTATAAAAGTTTTAATCCAAAACTTTAAGATTATTACTTAGGTCGATATAATGGCTCATGAAGTACCGAAACATATTTAAACTTATTGCTATTTTGACTGTGCTTGAAAAAGTAAGACAGTCAACAAAATATCATAAAAGACTGTGTAATTCCATTAACCCACTTGTAATTAACTTACTTAATAGAATTAATAAGGACTGAATAGATGGCTATGTTAAACATTTTCATACATATAACTCCATAAATATATATATATATACCTATACTTTTAGTTATATAAAAATTGAATTTGATTCTTATATCATTACATAAATTTATATATTGTATTACAAAAATTATCTTCAAGACCACTAATGATGGGTATTTGGCAATACCTGAAACAGCTGTTTGGTCAGTCAAAAATTCAATTAATTAAAATAATATAGAATGAATTTTTGTTTTTGTAGTTCACTACTATTTGAAAAACCTCTATATTGTATTATATTAAATCATAAAAGGACACTGTTTTCCAATATAAACCGATTTTTATTTTTGATTTCTAAATTATATGGTATGTCATAAGAAAAATATCAAGCATTTTCAAAGCGTGAAATAAAAAATATAGTACAAAATATTTAAAAAGTAAAAAACAATTTAAATATATTTATATTAACTGTATATATTACCTTAGATTTAAACACTTCAAATTATTTTAATATCCCACTTATTATATATAAAAAAAATTGAAATATATTTATATGAACTGTTTTAAAAGATGTCAAATTCGTTGACGGATAATAATTATTAAATAAGGAAGTACATAATATCGGGCATTTTTGAAAATTCTCAACTCTATTATAATAAATTAATATAATTTAAAATTTTGTTTATCTTAAATCCTAAGGTTAAGTTTTATTTAAAATTTTAGCAATCCAATCAGATTACCTTATCAACATTTTATAGATAGAAAAACATAAAGATAAAAATACTACACAATCTGGCAACGCTGATTGGAATTTCAAATAACAGCTGTTATCGTTAACAACACAAAACCAACAACCAGTTTAGCAGTTCATGCCGATGAGTCAAGGTCGGGAAGACGTCATACAACGTCACGCCAATTTTCGTTTTCATTCTCCCATTAGCGCAACACCAACACAGAAGCAAATTTTTTATATTTGGTATAGTGTATGTCACAAAGTGAGATAATTCAATGAATTATTTTTTATACTTTTTATGAAGTAAATTTTTTAATATTAAATCACGTGATATAAAATGTAATAAAAATGTGTTATTTTTTTAGTAAATATTAATTTTTAATAAAACAAAAATTAAGTAAATAAATGAAACTTTCAGATTTTATGATTTCAATTTAAAATGTAGAAAAAAATAATAAAATATTTTAAAGCTATTAAATTATATTAATTTTGCAAGAAGTGCTGCACTAATTAATATAGTCGCGTGGAACTTTATAATAAATACTAAAGAGAAAAAGTATATTTTTTCTTCTTACTCTTTGCTACGAATTTTCTCTTAGTGTGAGCAATTTTTGTTTACTACATTCGTCATACTCAGTCCGGCGAGTATGCCCCACTCTCAAACACTACAATTCAGAAAAAGAGTCTAAAGCGGAACAAAAGCAGAGAAAACAAAAAACAGCTGATTCGTTAATGCTGACAACACAACACAACACAACCGGCACAACAACGATGACCAAACACTTGAAACGAGCGTGTAAACAGACGTTCACGTTCGTTCGGTTATGTATTGCGTTGTTGCATGATATTCGGTTTTGATTCTTCAATGGAGCAACAACCCAACAACCGTTGGGTTTGATTGCCATGCTTGTCGAAATTAATGCCAGCCGGTTTGCGAACTATTAATGTGTGTTGTTTAATATACAACAAAATTATTTTTATACTATTTTGTTTATATTTTCTATTTAAAACGAGATATGCGAATGAAATACTATTGCTCAATGCAGCAACAAAAACAAAAAAAAAAACAGTTGGCAATTTTAGTGTTCGGTAAAATTTTTTTAACTAAAAAAAAATTAAATACATTTTTCTGGGTTAGTTAAGGCGAACGACGCGTAGAGTGTAGAGAAAATGTGTTTGGAGATTTTTTCTTTTTGGGTAAATTGTTGATGGATTTTTGTCGGCTGATGCACACAATTCTATTGGCTTCATACGCTAATTTGTGAATTTTTTAACGACATTAATTTATGACAACAACAATTAAAAATGATTCTTTTAGTTATTGAAATAAAAAAATTTTTTTCTTATACTTTTTTGAAATTATTTTCGAGTATCGTTTACAAAAGCGAGTATCGTGTCTTAGATAAATTACAAAAAAAAAAAAAAATTTAATATTTAAAAAAAATATTATTATATTAACAGTTGGTTAAGGTGCATTGACTCTGAGCTTCAAATTTTGTAGGACCCGAGTTCGATTCCCGGTACTTGCAGTCCTAAAAAATTATTTACGATTAATTAAGTACAAGAATGATTTCCAAAACCACTGATTATGGGTATTTAGCAAT